CAGACAGACAAAAATCCTTGAGAGTTTAAATATGAGGTCATGAATTAAATAGTTGTTAAGCTGAGGGCAGACATAATTCAAAGAATCTCAGACACTTTTTTTGAGTGGAATGTGTTTGGGCAAAGTAAGAGGGCTCTCTGCTTTACTTTTCCATGCTGTAGAAGAAGTTGCACTCAGTTAGTCTGTTGTTACCCATTCAGCAGATCTACCGGGTGACAATAGAATCATTTTTCTGTCACAAAATAAAGCATGCTTCCCATTCAGACTGATTTTCTCTCGCTCTATTGTTATTTTCACCATCAGACAGATATTTAACCATCCCGTTAGCTAAGCTTACCAAAATTCCCTTTAACCTCTGCAGGCGTTTGCGCATCAAGCTTCTCTAATTCCCTTCTCTGCTGTTCTACTTATTTACACATAATCATGATCCTTCCTATTCCCTCCCATTGTGAATGTATAACTTAATTATTACCTCAGCAGTGATAATGTTTCAGCGGTCCCAAGGGTCTCTCCGCATATATGAGAGTTTTTCTCCGTAATAAACTTGAGCCGGCGTACCCAGCATGAAACGTGTTTTGATATTAATAAGGCTCACTAAACCTACAGGGAATAGCTGTGAATTCCCCTGTGAGCCTCATCACAACACCTTCATATTAGAATTAGCATTTTTTTCCAATTATGTTCACATTTGCACATCAATAAAATATAGTTTGTCCTCTGATAGAGACATTTATTAGAAGACATTGTGTTAAAAAAAAGGAATAAACCTACAGAGACCGCTTCTTTTCTTAAACCCAATCAGTTTTTATCTAACGAGATATGTCTTTGTGCTGTAAATTTAAAATTTAAAGCAAATCGCTAAACCATTTATTTATTTTAGATGATTAACTCGTTCAAAATGAGCATATTAAACACATCAAACTGTGAACCAAGATGAAGCCGCTGTGAAAAAGAAGATAAAAAGCTGCGAGAGGAGGGAGTCAGAGAGCTGCTTCTCTTTCAGCAGTCTGTTTGTTCCTGGACTTTGTTTCGTCTCTCCCGGGGAAGCAGGGGGCACAGCTGTCTATAGTCTCCCCCGGATCATGTTGGGTCAAGAGCTTTTATGATCAGAAAAGAGACGGCAAGGAGGAAAGAAGAATTGAAGGCTAGTGGCGACGCTTGGACGAAAAGAAGGAAAGTTGGTTAGAAGTTTTGGACTTCTCTATACTTATAAGGGAGGTTGTGGGAAGGAAGCTTCCCAATCCCAGGCATCGTCTTGGAGATTGTGCAGCAGTGCTTCATGGCTCCAGAGAGGCACCAGGGAGTTGGTTTCATGTGGCAAGAAAAACAGGGATCAGCAGTAGTCAGCATGTGTGTCTGTGTGTGCAGCTGTTTAGAAGCACTCACTCCCATACACACACAGGGGAGGATGAGGTAGAGCTTCCATATTGACTCTCTCAGGAGGGGGGTGTTTGCATCATAAGCCTTATATTGATTACAGGGACCATGAGATGCATGGATGACACCAGATACTACGGCCATATGTCTGCATGACATGAATGTGAACACCGAGCCTTCTTCCTACTCAGTCACATGTCATTTAATGCTCATCCCGCCCTTATAGACAGAAGCTCCATCCCTCATAACAAATGTATTTACTTTTTGAGAATTAAAGATTTAACAGTGGCGGGTTACTTACTGTCTGTAATCATCCATCCACATCTGCACCCATAACCAGATTATTTTGTGGCTTCAGCAACATTATTTTTAGGATTTCTGATTTTTGCAGGAGTTTTTTTTTTTATTTATTTTTTTTTTTTTGGGGGGGGGGTTACATTTGTCAGAAATCATCCCTCTGCAAATAAAAAAAAAAAAGAATCATTTAAACATTTTCCTGTCACGAGGAAAAAGTAGTGTCTAGTTGAAGTGTCGGGTGTTAAAACCATATTGTTGTCCTCGGGTCAAAATGATCCACCGCTGTTTCAAAAAATCCACTAAATGCTATTTTTCTTTACTTGAAATTTTGTGACTTTTCCTAGATTGGTCCAAACAATAGAAAAAAGTAAAATGTTGCTTTTATTCACATTTCCATGAAAGCTGTACAAAAAAGTTACAAAGGTGAAATAGAGTTGAAATCAAGGTTATTTACCAACCACAGAATGTTACAATGTTTTAGTTGTGTCTCAGATCAATCGGTAGCAGAAGTAAACAAAGCATATCAGGTGGTGTTCTTGCAGACTTCAGAAGAACACCTGTTTATTTCCAGAGGTGCTGCAGGCAGCACCCCAAATTCTGTCTATGCTGAAGACATTAGTGTGCTTTACAATGTTGAAGAGGCTTTAGAGCTGATTTTCTCAGATGTCCAGCATGATATCTCTTTCAAAAAATCTATTATCACAATATAAAATCACTTTTAGGGCAGCAGAAGATATGTCAGTTCTGCCCTCAAAAGAAGAACTGTAAAACACATACTGTGTGCTGCAGGTGTAAGAAAAATATCTGCAATAGCTGTGCACTTGCATACTGCCCGATATGTGCTTATTAGTTGAATGGGTTATGTTATTTTTCATATTTTTGTATTCTATATGGTCTTATGTTGTTCACTGAAGGAAAAAAAGGAATCTGAGTCACTGGGATGAAGAAATGCATTTAAAACTCCTTTTTTGCAGATATATTTTTTCTTTTCTTAAGCTACAGAGATTCAACTGCACTGCAAAAATTGAAATCTAAATCTAAATAAGTAATTTTTTTTCTTAAAATAATTCTTCTTGAACGGATGAGGTTAGTGAGACACTTTGCCAATGGAACATGACAATTTGCATTTAAAAATGAGAAAAAAATTATTTCATTGTTTTATTTCAAATGCATGTTATCTAATTTTCTTATTCTAATAGTAAAAAAAAACGAATTGCATCGACATATCTTATTTACCTACTTAAATTAAGGGAACATACACTTTAAGACATTTTTACTTATTTCTAGATGTTTTGGCTGAGTGAAAATTCAATTATTCACACATTTTGTGGTGAATGATATTATACAAGATGAAATTCGGTGTTTAAAATTCAGTTATGCAGCTTATAGTGGGTGTTTAGAGAACACGGGTGATTTTGACCCGGAGGACACAGGGTGTATACAGAAAATGAGGACAACAGGTAAGTAATAAAGTTATTCAGACCAACCTGGCCTTTTGTTAATAACAGAATAATGGCCTACTGTGGAGATTGTGTCAAGTTTCTGGAAACATTCAGTCTTTTACACCAACGTGGAGAAAATTCATCCCTCTCCACGTTGCACAACTGTATCAATTCAGACATTTTGAAGAGTAACTGAGGCTCTAAAAATATCACATGGTTCTGTTTCAGTAAACCTCAACTTTTGAGGTCTGAGTGCGGCTAGTAAAGCTGAATATTGGGCCTTACTGGTATGGGAAAAATCTATTTCCTTTATAAATGAATTTAAACCTTTGAAAGAGGCTCTTATTACTTGAGGTATATTTCTGTCAAATCAATAATATTTCATAAAATTGATTTTGACAAAAAAAAGGGAAAAAAACAGGCAAATCAGAAAAGAGTTGGGTTTTTACTTCCAGACAATGTAAACAATGGGAAAATGGTCTGATAAATGGGATTCAAGGCACTGAAATTATCTTCATATAGGGTGTTTGGATTTACTCTGATAGGGAATGCTCTGTACTATCGCTTCTGACCTGGGGATGGATGGATGGATGGATGGATGGATGGATGGATGGATGGATGGATGGAT